CCTCATTTCTGAAGAAGGGTCTAGGCCCGAAACGTCAGCCTTCCTGCTCCTCTGATGCTGCTTGGCCTGCTGTGTTCATCCAGCTCTACACCTTGTTATCTTATATTTAGGGAAGAGTGTTCATTGCAACATAAGGTTAAGAATAACAGTGGCAAATTACATCAATTAATTCAGATTAAGAACAATCAAATGGCAGAGAATGGACTTCAATGGGGTAAGAGCAGAGCTGGATTGAATAAACTGAAACCAAAAACCGATGGGAAAAACAGTAACTGAACAATGGGCTACCTGCAAAGAGATGATTTCAGCACAGAAAAAGAATATTCCTTTAAAAGGGAAAGGGGTACCAAACAAATCCAGAACTTCCTGAATGACTAAGGAGATAGAAATTGAATTCAAGAAAATGTGTGCTTAAGACAGGTGTCAGATAATAAATATAATTGAGAACCAAGATGAATACAGAAAGTTCAGAAGGGAGGTGAAAAAGCATGAACAAGGAGCAAAGAGAGACTATGAAAGAAGATTGGCAGCTATTATGAAAGGAAATCGCAAAGTCTTCTGTAAGTACACAATAGCAAAACAGTGGTAAGAGGAGGAGTACACTCAATTAGGGACCAAAAAGGAAATCAACATTTAGAGGCAAGAGGTATGGCTTATGAGTTATATGAACATTTTGCATCTGTCTTTACCTATTCAGCAGACACTGTTCAGGCTTTGGTGACAGGGGAGGAAAGTTGGCTAAAATTGATAAGGAGGTGGGACTGGATAAGTTGTTGATTCTTAAATTTTATGAGGTACCAAGACCAGATGCTGTGCATTAAAGGATACTGAAGGAAGAGAGTGTGAAAACCGCAGAGGCATTGTCAATTATCTTTCAGTCTTCCTCGGAATGGAAATTGCAAACATTACAACCATTTTTCATCAAGGGCATTAAGATCTGCCAAGTATTACAGACCAATCAGTTTAACTTGGGGAAACTTCTTGCAACAATTATTCACAATAGAATGAGTTGGATTGATTCAAAAGAGTCAGCATGGATTTACTCAGGGAAAATCATAACTAATTTGTTGGAGTATGTACAAAATGGTAAAAGAGAGGACTGATGAGGAGAAGGCTATTTCCATGGAGCATTTGGACTCTCAAAAGGTGCTTAATATAGTGTCACACAACAGATTAGGATTAAAGTTATACATCAATAAAAGGGACAATAGCAAAGTGGATATAAAAACTGGCTGAACGACAGGAAAACAAGAGTAACAGTCAATGGATTTTTTCCAGATTGGAAGAAGATTGCTAGTGGAGTTTCACAAAGGTCAATGTTGTGACTCTTGCTTTTCCTGATATACATAAATGATCTAGATCTTGGTATAGAGGACAATTTCAAAGTGTGCAGATAATAAAACTTGGGAGAACTGTAAATTGTGAGAAGAGCGCACAACTTTGAAAGGAAAAGAGCATGTTGGTAGAATAGGCAGAAAGTTGGCAAATGAAGTTCAATGCTGATAAGTGGGAGATACAAAGAACATGGAGATACAGTATAAAGGGTATAAAGTTTTTGAGAAGATTTGTAGCTCTGGTTGTGGATGAGGTTGTAGACTTGCTCACTGAGCCGGTGTGTTTGATTGCAGACGGTTCGTCACCCTGCTAGGTAACATGGTCAGTGTGCCTCCGGTGAAGCTTGGTGTACCGTCCTGCTTGTTATTTATATGCCTCGGTTTGCTGGGGTGTTTAGCATTACTTCCAGTTCTGTTTTTCAACGGTTTGTATATTGGGTCCAGTTCAATGTGTTTGTTGATGGAGTTCCGGTTGGATTGCCAGGCCTCCAGGAATTCCCTGGCATGTTTCCATTTGGCTTGTGCTATAATGGATGTGCTGTCACAGTCGAATTCATGTCCTTCTCTGTCCATGAGTATTGAGACCGGTGAGAACTGGTCATGTCCCTTAGTGGCTAGTTGGATGTTTGCGTATCCTTATTGTCAGTTTTCTTCCAGTTTGGCCTATGTAATGTTTCTCACAGTCCTTGCATGGTATTACGATGGTTTTATTGGTTGTGGGTATGGGACCCTTTACGTTCGCCAGTAGCTGTTGCAGGGTGGTTGTTGGTTTGTGGACCCCCTGATATCTACACGTCTGAGTAGTCTTGTGGTCGTTTCTGATATGTCTTTGATGTACAGTACGGTGACTAGTGTGTCTGGTCGCGTTGTGTCTTCTTGTTATGGTCTGTCATGGAGGCAACGGCAGATTGTGCTTTTCAGTTATCCATACCTTTTAAAAAAAAGGTCCGTATAAGTTCTCCTGTTCCTAATGTACAAAATACCATGCAAAGACTGTGAGAAACATTACATAGGTCAAACTGGAAGAAAACTGACAATAAGGATATACAAACACCAACTAGCCACCAAGGGACACGACCAATTGTCACTGGTTTCAATACACATGGACAGCGGAGGACATGAATTCGACTGGGACAGCACATCCAACATAGCACAAGCCAGAGACATGCCAGGGAATTCCTGGAGGCCTGGCATTCCAACCAGAACTCCATCAACAAACACATTGAAGTGGACCCGATATACAAACCACTGAAAAACAAAACTCAAAGTGATCCCAACAAACTGAGGCATATAAAATAACAAGCAGGCAGAGCACTAACGCTTCACCGGAGGCACACTGACAATGTTACCTAACAGAGTGACGAAATGTCTACAATCAAACACACCAGTTCGGCAAGCAAGTCTACAACCTCACTATAGAACGTACTCTTCCAAAGTGTATACAAGTGAGGATAGGCAAGGATACATATATGTGTTTGTCATTAAAGGTAGCAGGAGAGGTAGGGAAAACTATTAATAAAGCATACAGTAATTCATGCTTCATAAACAGAGGCACAGAGTGCGACAGTATAGAGATTAGGATAAGTTTATGTAGGACACCGGTTGGAGCTTAGTTGGAGTGTTGTGTACAGTTCTAGATGCCACATTACACAAAGAATGTGAAGCATTGGACAGTGCAGAAGAGGTTTATGAGAGCGTTTCTAGGGATAAGGCACTTCAGGTATGAGGAAAGATTGGAGAAGTTGAGATTTTCTTCCCTTGGAGAGAAGGCTAAGAGGAAACTAGATACAAGTTTTTAAAATCATGTGGGATCTGGATAGAGCATTGAGGGAGAAACTTCCCACCACAAAACAATCAGGAAACAGTGTGCACATATTTAAAGTGTTTTGCAACAAGCAAATGTGAGGTTAGAAAAACCTTTTTCACACAATGAATAGTTTGGGTCAGACATGCACTGCCTGCTGGCAGGTTCAACTGAGACATTTAAAAGGGCATTGAATGACTATTTAAACAGCTACCATGTGCACGGGGAAAAGTAAGGATATTGACAAGAAATTAAAATGCTCAAACACCAGGGCAGACATGATGGACAGAACAGTCTCCTTCTGCACTGTTACAATACTGTGAAAGGGAAGTAATTTCAACTACAGAACAAAGCTTTTACTCCCTATCGTGAAGAATTGAAGAGAAGGTTTGACCCCTTTATTACCTTAAACAGAAAGTGAGGTGGATACCCTTGAAAACAACAATGTGCAGAGGTCCAAGATCATAATCAATAAAAAGGGAAATTGAAACAGAGTGTGTTGTTTTATGCCACAGATGTTTTAGTTCAGAAATAGGGTTGGGCTTGCTGCAGTTATACAGGGCCTTGGTGAGACTACAGGTGAAGTTGCGTGTGCAGCTTTGGTTTCTCCCTAAGACAGTCCCATAGAGGGGGGGCAGAAAGGTTCACTAGGTTGATACTGGGGGGTGGCAGAACTGTCCTATGAGGAGAGACTGGTTTGTCTGGGCCTGTATTCACTAGAGTTTAGAAGGATGAGAGGGGATCCGATTGAAACATAATTTTTTTTAAACAGGTCTGAACAGCCTGTACTCTATCCAGACCCTACTTCAACATTCTATATCACTGCTTTTTGCGGAAGAGAATTCCAAATGCAGGAAGAATGTTTTCCTCAAACTGCGGAGTCTAGAACTAGATGCCACTGAGTTGGGATACAGGTTAGGCCATGTAGGACCTGAGATGAGGAGAAAGACTTCTTCATTCAAAGGGTAGTGAACTTATGAAATACACTACCACAGAATGGTGTGGAGGCCAAACTCATTATGTATATTCAATAAAGAGATAGATAATTTTAGGTTTTAAAGGCATCGAAGGATATGGGAAGAAAGCAGGAATATGGCAGAGAAAGTGGATTATTATTGAATGGTGGAGCAGGTTTGAAGGGCCAAATGGCCTACCCTTGGTCCTCGTTTAAGTGTGAAAATGGCAGGGAGATGTGCTCATCAAGCTGGAAGATATTGAGCACGCAGAATTTAACCAGACTTCTGTATGTGCTAGAAGGTGCATTTCTGCTAATCATGAGTGCAAGTAGTGAGTATTACTATTGCATTTTCAATCACCAGTCATCCATCCAACTGAGCTAACAGACCCCTACTCATTTAATTTACGGCCCCTTTGAAGCTGTGGTTCCTTAAAGCTCTCAGTTTGTGACAGTGCTTTGAATGCCAGCTGAGTAGCATTTTCCACAGAACACTTTAAATTAATTCAGAATGAAAACACTAACCCCTCAGCTATGAAATCACAGAAACATAGAAATTAAGAGCATACAGCCCCCCCAGTTTCTTAATTGTCAAGGAGATGAAAAATTATCTAATTCTATCTTAAAAATACTTAAACATTCTGTATTACTGCTTTTTGAGGAAGAGAATTCCAAAGACACTCAACCTTCAACTTTTTTCCTCAGCTTTGCCTTAAACAGACTCCTTATTTTTAAATTATGACCCTGCCCCTCCACCACAGCCATGTATTGAGCACGATACTAATGCTGAACACAAAAGTCAGTGATAATGCTCCCTATCCATGAATCATGAAGTAGTCTGGTAGAAGTATGTCAGAGCTACTACCTGTGAGACATTGGTCAAACAGCAAGAGCCTACTCATCAAAACTGAAAGTGTACAGCCAACAGGAGCAGAGTGTGCTCTGCCTGCTTAAATACAATGTACCTAGATAGCATACTCTAACCCTAAAGACAAAGCCCACGATCAACAGGTATACACAGTAGGCTTGCGGATTGAGGGACAGCAGCTAAGGGGATGACAGCATGAACAGAAACATCTCATTGGCAGCTGAAATAGCTAATCCTGTTTCTACGCCAGTGAGACTGTCCCACACTGGAAACTGTGGAGACAGTACACTAATCGAGAAGTGGAATTCACTGAATCCTTTAAAATATCCGTGGCAATGAAGTTTGATAAATGATGATTAAAATAGATTTTAGGTTTTAGGTATGATGGTAAATAAGGAGAATGTATTCTCAGCATGAGATTCTAGACATGATCTGGAGTTAAGGGAGAAGGACTAGACAGGCAAGATGGTTAACTACAATGTTGGCTCTGGATCCTGCTCGTCTAAGGTAAAGAAAAATATCCTGGACTGAAAGCAATAATTTTGTTCCCAGCCACACTGCCAGTAGTGCTCAGAACAGAAGAACTGATCATTAACATACAATGAGACACAACAGCTCCCTCAGTGGGAATCTCTCAGACATTTGGACCGTGCTGGGGAAGAAAAGGAAAGACAGGAATGCTAGTACAAAACTCTCACAGTATGAAGCAGGAGCTCCATCTCACTGCAAATCACACATCACCATTTAGTTTGGGATGGAGAGGGAAAGAAGATTGAAGAATTCCAATACAGATTCTACTGAGCTCAATTAACTCCTTCTGAAGACTAAACAATTGCAAACTTTGAAAACAAAGAGAATCAACCTCCACTAAACGAGGAGCAAAAGCTGCTGAATAAGAACACGTCCACAAAAGGATTGTTATATCAAGCTAAACTGGTGGTTAGATTGCTACTTTTTGCAATGAGCATTTACACTCACACACACACACAAACTGGTGTTTACGGGTCTCACATGTATTAAGGAAATTTTAGGTTGGATTATGTCAATCTCAGGAAATATCTGACAGACAACATTGGGCTTTTTGGAATGAATGGATGAATTTTTTTTGTTGAAATGGCTATTTGAAGATCTTTAGTGCAAAACGCACTGTAAAATACTAACACACTGCGTGTTAGAGAGGAGTTATCAGTGGGTTTAGGTGGTCAGTGAGCCAAACTCTGGTCAGTAACTGTCCTGTGGTTAAGGCCCAAAGTGGGAGACAATCTTCCTCAATAAACGTAATGCAGCTTTGCACATTTTTAAAATCAGGCCACTTGAAAACCTCAAATTCTCCAAATACCACGTTCCCATAGCCTAGGTCAGACATTCTTAATAAAGAGCAAGCAGGGGAAAGTTACTGGGTGACAGACACTTAGAACTGTACTTAGCTAAACATTTCCATATTGTAGATCTACAGGCTGTGTATAACTAGAATTATGATCGAATAACCGTGGAGTCAGAGGTACAGCAACAGTGCTGATAGTAGTGTTTTAAAAATCCATTACCAGGAAGAAATGGCACAAATCTGATCTGTGAAGCCACACTGGCACATAACAGACTTCCCGGCTTCACGCACTGAAAACATGATAAAGGGCGATTCCAAGTCAAAATTGGAGAAACACTTCTTGCAGACCAGCAAGGACAAGAAGAGATTATTCAGACCTCCCATCAAATCAAACTGTAGCTGATCCATATCCATCAATCCATATGCATTCTCTCCTTTATCACTATGCCGAGCAGAAGTCTGTTAATCGTCATTTTAAATTCTAAAATAAGCTAACATCCACATCTTTGGCTGGGAGATAGAGCTCCACTTGAACCACCCTTTGCATGAAGACAGTTTTCTAACTTTTTTTCTTGGACAATCTAGCAAAATTTAAGGTTCTCTCCCCTTTTCACAGACTCCACTACAAGCTGAGAAGGTTTCTCTCTATCCCACGAGTGCTTTCAAAACCTTAAAATGTGAAGCAAATCACTCTTTATCCTTCCCCATCCCAGGCAATACAAGCTTGCTTTATGCAATCTTTCTTCTTAATCTATCATATGGGTCTGGTAACATTATGATGTAGACTCAGGGCTGCAAAGGTTTAATATAGAGTTTTTAACAACTGGAAGTGGGCTGTGTTCAACTTAAATTGATCGGATAAAGCTCCAGTGTTTGAAGATTGTAAGACTCTTAAGGCACTCTCCATTCAGTTAAAAACTTCGAGTGATTGGCAATAAACATAATGCTGTTTTCAGACAGACACATTGATCTACTCTGCATCTAACCCTGGGCTCTACCTGTCCTGAGAGTATTTGATTGGGAAGGTGTAGAGGTTGCTTTACTCTGTATCTAAATCTTCTGTATGTGTCCCAGGAGTGTCTGATGGGACAGTGCAAAGGAGGCTTCACCCTATATCTAACATATAAATAATGTTCATGGTTCCTACAGCATCCAGTTGCCTTCTTGAACCACTGCAGTCCTCAGGGTGTCCTGTAGGGAGGGTGCTCCGCAACTTTGAAGGAAGTGATATATTTCCAAGTCAGGATGGCGAGTGGCTTGGTGATCGTCCCGTGTATCTGCTGCCCTTCTGGGTAGTAAAAGCTGTGGATTTGGAAGGTGGGAGGCTGGAATAGCACATCAGGTCAGATAGCATCCGAGAAGCAGGTAAGTCAATGTTTCAGGCCAAAACCCTAAGCTCTGACTAAGGGTTTCGGCCCGAAACACTGACTTTCCTGCTCCTCAGACGTTGTCTGATCTACTGTGCTTTGCCAGCCCCACACCTATAAATTTTGGCTTCCAGCATCTGCAGCCCTTATTGTCTCCTGGATTTGGAAGGTGCTGCTGGAGGAGCCTTGGTGAGTTATTGTAATGTGTTTTCTAGATGGTACACACCACTACCTTCGTGCATCAGTGGTGAATAGAGTTATGGTGAAGGTAGTGAATGGATGCTAAAGTACATTGCTTTGTTCTGGATATTGTTGGAGCTGCACTCATCCAGGAAAGTGGGAAGCATTCCAGTACACTCCTGACTTGTGTCTTGTAGATGTTGGACAGGCTTTGGGAAGTGAGGTGATGAGTTACTCGTTTCAGGATTCCTAGCATCTGATCTGTTACTGTAGCCATAGTATTTATGTGACTGGTCCAGTTCAGCTGATCACTGGTAATCCCCAGGATGTTAATGGTGGGAGATTCAGCAAATGGTAATGTCATCGAATGTCAAGGGGAGATGGATGGATGCTTTGTGAAGACTGTCATTCCGTGGCATTTGTGTGATGTAAATGTTACTTTCCACTCATCAGCCCAAACGTGGAGGTTGTCTGGTCTTGCTGTGCTTGAACATGGATTACCTCAATATCTAAAGAATTGTGAATGTGCAACGTTCAGCACCATTCAGCAGGAAATATCTCCACTTCTGACCTTATGATAGAGGGAAGGTGCCAAAGATGGTTGGGCCTGGGACACTACCCTGAGGAACTCCAGCAGAGCTGCCATTCAGTTGAGATGATTGACCTCTTATGAACACAACCATCTTCTTTTGTGACAGATATGTCTCCAACCAGCAGAGGACGTTCCTGCTGATTCAAAATGATTCCAATTCTGCTATTGCTGATTAATGCCATACTCTGTTAAATGGAGCCTTGGGGTGTGACTTTCACCCCAGCTATGGAATTCAACTCTTTTATCCATGTTTGAACCATGGCTGTAGAATAAGTCAGAAGCTGAGAGGCTTTGGCAGAACCCAGACTGAGCCTCACTGAGTAGGTTATTCCTTTGCAAGAGTCACTTGAGAGCACTATCAACAACTCCATCTATCCCTTGGCTGATGAAGAATAGACTGCTACATCAGTCATTGGCCGGGTTAGTACAGGCCTGCTTCTTCACACACAGGGTACACGGGAGAAATTTTTCACGTTGTCAGACAGGCACTAGTGCTGTAGCTGTACTGGATCGGGGTATTGTCAGGCATTTGATGGGGACGGTATAGTGGCAGCTTTACTCTGTATCTAACCCTATGTCATACCCATCCTGGGAGTGTTTGATGGCGACAGTTTAGAGGGAGCTTTACCCTTATCTAACTCCATGATATCACTGTCCTGGGAGTGTTTCATTAGAGTTGGTTGGTGGGTTTGATTTTATTGGAAAGGTCTGAGATTTGTTTTTCCATTCAATATTCCATAAAATATTCTTATTCATTGCTTATATAATTAAGTTCTACAAATACTGCAGCTCACAAGGAACTCATGCGTACAGTGTGGTAGCCACAGAGGATGATCAACAGTGAATTACACAGGCCATTCAGCCCACTGCTGGTTGTGTTAGACATGAGACCCTTCACAGCCCCATTGAAGTAACTGCGAAAGTGCAAATGATCTCAGTAGGGATTGAATATTCAGCTGTGTATTCAGCAGGGCTCTGCATTTCATCCTTTTGATATGGTTAAGTTTAAGAAGTTTTCATGAAACTGCATTTCTTAAAAATATGCACCATATCCCTGTGTAATCCTGAGATGTGACCTGCAGAGACCGCTGCCTTTTAAACCTCTCCAATGCATTCAACAACAGTCTATTCTGTTTATTTTCTGAGAGAGGAGTGAGGCTTTGATCCTAGTTTGTTCATTTGCCAAACTTGCCATCACAGTCGTGCAGAAGGCATGAATGGTCATTTTCACACGGCCCATCCGACTTGTTTTTCTGATCTCGACAAGTCACAGAGATCTCACAGAGCTTTCCAGCACTGCCACCAAGGTCTGTTTATGACTAAGTAAACATTAGCGAAAGCCAAGCTCGTCCACTTGCTCTTTCCCTCCTTCCTCCCACGCAAGCATATAATAAAAAAAAACTGCCAGCTTGCTCCCTGCACTGGGTGACAGACTGACCTTCCTCTTGGTTTCTTCGAAGAGGCTCATCAGACTCTCCCTAGCTGTAAGGATTGGATTGCTGGCAGCGAGACTTCGCATGTAATAGTAGACAGCATCCAGCTTCCGCCTCTGTTTAAAAAAATGAAAAAAGGAGCAAAGATGAAACCAGTTTAAAAACACAGACACAGCTCAGCTGAACCCAATTACTGAGCATTCCCACAATTGCTTCATTTTCACTGAAATCTATTAGTCATAAATTATCCAAGTTCATAAAACCACTGAACATTTTACCCCTGGCTGGCTTACCCCTGAGAACTAGAGCTCAGATTTATCAGACCCAACACAAATACAATAAAGCAGCCTCCTGTCTACACCCCCCAACCCCCAACATGGCCCCTAGATATTTTGAGAGGTGTATTTAAACATTCAGCTTTAGAAAGCTCTCATCAGCACTGGAAGTACAGAAAACAATCCTGACAAGTATTGTTTAACAACGAGAAAAGTGTTAGTTAACTGCAAATGCAAAAACCAAGCTAAGACTTCACATGCCATGGGTCATAGCAAGAGTACACACCAACCCCAAAACATCCACCACGTAGAACGCTATACACCTCACGTCAGGTGAAAACATTGAGGCTCAATACCAAAGACTTCACTATTCTCGCTAATGCACAGAACCTTTTAGATTCCATGCAATATCATTGCATTAATTAACATCAACCACACGCTTACAACATTCAATGTCAGGAAATCAAATTCCTTACCTATTTTAAATGTGAAATCTAATCAACTAGTGAGTTCAATAACTTCTCACCAGCACTTCAAAAACAGCCTGCATTACATTTCTCATGAACAGCTGACATCTAGTGGCACAAAGAACTAGCACATTCCAAACTTTGACAGTTTAATCTGAGGCATTACACTAAAGACCAAATCCAAAAGCAACAGCTTAGGATTCTGATCAATGGAGAAGACGCTTGAAGCTAGTGTTACAGACACAGCACATCCCTTAATAATGTCATTACAGCACTTCACAGCCGAAGAGATGTAGTGACTTTTTTATACCATAAGAAACAGGAACAGGAGTAGGCCATTCAGCTTCTCAACCCTACTCTGCCATTCAATGGATCACAGCTGATCCGACAGTTCTCACATCCTTTCTCCTGCCCTTTCCCCATAACCCTTGATTCACTGACTGATCAAGAATCTGTCTATCTCAGCCGTAAGTATACAAAAGGACTCAGTCCCCACAGCTGTCTGTGGCAAGGAGTTCCAAAGACTGACAATCCCGTGAGAAGAAATTCATCCGCATCCCAGTCTTAAATTGGTGCCCCTTTATTCAGAAACTTCACCCAAAGGAAGCATCACTGCCATTTTATATAGCGTGACTGAACAAACGGCAGTGGTAAGAAAGACCAGTTAATGGTTTAGGGAAATGTCGGCTTAGAATAGAATGCTTGCCAGGACACCAGGAAAACTCCCTACTCTTTTCACAAGAACAAACTGATGTTTTTGCCAAAACAAGTAATTTATTAGCATTCTATGACTCTAGATCAGGACAGATCTCGCTTAGTCATCGGAGCTGGTACTGGAAGACTGCTAGATTCTCATCAAATGGAGGGTCATCAACCTGGGATTAATCAAAGGGATAGTAATTCTGCTCTAAATCACTTAAATCAATGACTAAAAGATTAATCAGGAGAAATGAATTAGAACATGACAGGAAGCTAGCTAGAAATGCAAAAATGGATAGCAAATGTATCTGCAGCTATTTTAACAGGAAAAGAGAGTGAGTGGTGTGAGCATTAGACCTCTAGAGGGTGAAACTGGAGAGTTCATAGTAGGTAATAAGGAAATGGTTGCTGAACAAATATTTTGCTTATGTCTTCACAAAAAAAGATGTGGATAACGAGGTCGTGGAAGTATCTGTTAGATTCTGGAAAGGTTCCATCACCTTAAGTGGCAGCAAATATAACTTACCTGTTCAAGAAGGGAGAACAGCTGAAAATAAACTGTCGGCCAGTTAGCGTGACGTCTGTCATCAGGGAGATTTTAGAATTAAAGAGGTTACACACAGACACATAGAAAAATTCAACATAGACCAGCACAGCAACAGGCACTTGGCCTACCATGTCTATGCTGACCATGATGCCATTCTGAACTAATTTGTATCCCTCTATACCCTGCCTGTTCATGTGTCTGTCTGAGTGCCTCTTAAATATTGCTATCATCTCTGCTTCTACCACCTCCTCTGACAGCACATCCTAGCACTTACCACCCTCTGTGTAAAATAACTTGCCCCATACATCTCCTTTAAACTTTTCCCCTCTTACCTTAAACCTATATCCCCTAGTATTTGACATTTCCACTGTGGGAAAAAGACCCTGACTATCCATTCTACCCATGACTCTCATAATTTAATATACTTCCATCAGGTTGCCCCGCAGCCTCCAATGCTTTTCTTTTTCCCCCAATTTCCCTCAGTGATGTAAGGCTCACCAGCCTGTAATTTCCTGGGTTATCCCTGTTGTCCTTCTTGAACAAAGGAACAACACTGGTTATTCTGTTGTCTTCTGGGATGTAGCCTCTGGCTAAAGAGGATACAAAGATCTCTGCCAAGGTCCCAGCAATCTCCTCCTTTGCCTCCTACAGTATCCTGGGATAGATCCCATCACTTATCTACCTTACAGTTTTTCAAGACATCCAACACCACCTCTTTCTTAACATCGACATGCCCCAGAATATCAACACACCCCTCCCTAATCTTAACATCATCCAAGTCCTACTCCTCGGTGAATGCTGATGCTAACTACTCAATAAGGCCCTCATCCACTTCCTCTGGTTCCACGCATAAATTCCCTCTTTTATCCTTGAGTATTCTTTCCCTCGCTACCTTCTTTCACCTTATCTATGTATAAAATGCCTTGGGATTCTCCTTGATCCTACTTGCCAAGGACATTTTGTGGCCTTAATTTGATTTCAATTTCCTAAACCTTACATATGCTTCCCTTTTCTTTTTGACTAACCTTTCAATTTCTCGTCATCCAAGGTTCCCAAATGTTGCCATTCTTATCTTTCATACTCAGAGGACCATGCTGGTCCTGAACTCTGATCAACTTTAAAAGACTCCCATATGTCAGATGTGGAGTTATGCTCCAAAGACGCCCAATTTAATTTCACCAGTTCCTTTCTAATACTGTTGTAATTAGCCTTCCCCCAATGTAGCACTTTCACCAGAGAACCAGTCTTATCCTTATCCATAATAACCTTAAAACTTACAGAATTATGATCACTGTTCTCAGGATGCTCCCCCACTGAAACCTCGAACATCTGGCCAGGCACATCCCCCAGTACAAGGTCCAGTACAGCCCCTTCCCCAGTGGAACAATCTTCATATGATTTCAATAAACCCTCCTGGAGGCACCTAACAAATTCTGTCCCATCTAAACCCGTGGCACTAAGGGAGTCCCAGTTTATACTGGGCAAGTTAAACTCACCCACTACAACAACCCTACTGTTTTTACATCTTTCCATGATCAGCTCACATACCTGTTCCTCTATCCTGCTGGCTATTGGGAGGCCTACCATCATAGGGATTGCACCTTTCTTATTCCTAAGTTCTACCCATATGGCCTTGCTGGAAGAACCCTCCAACACGTCCTCGCTTAATACAGCTGTGACATTCTCTTTAATCAGTAATGCTACTCTCCCATACCTTTTACACCCA